CTGGTGGAATGAAGCTACGCTCCCCTAAATGAAGCACATAAAACCGCTAGCTGCACTTGCTAACTTCTGGCTCGTTTACTGACTGGACTCGTGTAACTCATGTTTGACCCACTCCCCTGTCTCACCTCCTCCTGATCCACATTCCACTTGAAGTCCTGCAGAGATAGATTTTAGAGGCGCCTAAAAATTCTCCGCAACTCCTTTGACTGACTGGACTCATGTGACTCGTGCTAAGAGTCCCTCCCGGCCTCACCTCCTCCTGCACCACGTTCCACTTGAAGTCCTGCAGAGACTTTTCCCCAAACTTGGCCCACGTCACACTCGCTGCCACCTGCAAACGACACATGGGCAGGCGGGAGGGGGGTGGGTATGGGATTTAAGAAGGGAGGGATACAGAAGCACAGTATTCTAGAGAGCAATGGTGCAGTGCAGTGCAGAATGGTAGCTCGCAGGATTCCCACGATAACTTCTGGCGTTCTTCCCAAAGTGTTACGAGCATTAGCTAGCCTTGCAACCAGCATTGCGTTCCAGCATTTGAGTCGTATGCCACAGACAGGAACACCCAAGGCATACACAACCCATCGTGAAAGCAGTAGGCGGAGCGGAGCGTGATGGTGGGCTAAAAGAGGAGGATGGATGAAGCACAGGACAAGAGCTGACCTGCCCAGCGTCTGGGAATTCACAGAAGTCAAGCATGGGGTTGGGGAGAGGGCTGACTGACCTTCTCAACGTCTGCATCAGAGGACGCCATGAGCGCTGCTTTAATCTGAGCGTCCAGCACATCGTTGCTCTTGCGCTCCTCCACTGCCCTCAGCTGCTGCTCTATCTCCGCCCTGCTCCATGCACATGCGCAGGTAGGCAGGGGCGTAGGGGCGCACATCAGCTATGCACGGACAGACATGTGAGTCGACTCAAAAGCATGTGCGTAGGGAGGCATGCTATAGCAGAGCAGGGTGTGTGGAGCAGAGAATGTGGAGCAGTGAGTGTGGAGCAGAGAGAGTTGATGGCGCTGTACTGACCGCTGCACGTCAACCGGCCGAGGGTCCTTCTCAATCTCCTTCTTGATGCCAATCTCCTTCACTGTCACTGTGAACTGCGCCCTGATGGTGCACACAGAGAGGAGACAGAGAGGAGAAAAAGGGAAGGTGAGAGGGGGAAAGACAGGTGGTGATGAGAAGCAGCTGTGGGAGGATGAGGGTAGGCAGGGCAAGACAGAATGGTGAGAAGAGCGCTGCTGATGAGAACGAGTGATCATCATGTGTCACAAATGGTTGTGCAGAGAGCAGGCTGAAATGCCAAGAGTAAAGAAATGTGTCAGGAAAAGCTGAGGAGTTAAAGCGCCAGGTGAAGCACAACGTGGCAGTGAGAAGGGGGGAATCGCAGTGGATGAGCGGTGGAGGGGGGGAGCAGTGAGCACGCACTTGACATTGGCGAGGGCCTTGGCCTTGTAGTCCGCTGGGAAGGTCAGCACGAACGACTTGCTCTCCTCCTGCCACACCACACCACACCACACCGTGCATGCGCCCATACATCCACAGGGGCGGCAAGATGCACACGTGGGATGACGGATGAAGGGTGACAGATGACGACAGGTAACAATGGGTGATGGGAATAGCGGGGAAACGGTAGAAGGGAACGAAAGAAGGAGGGGTCGTTACAAGACGGATGGATGAGAAAATGGATGGCGAGAGAAGGGAAGGCAAGAAACTGGAGAAACAGCTGTTGAACCCTCTAAACCGATGAGTGTCTGCAGCCGTCTCCCTCACCTCTCCCACCCCGGCCCCACATCCTTGACCCATCTTCCCCCACCGCAGCAGGCCCTCCCCGTTCCCGCCCTGCCCGCTCGCACCCTCCCGCGCACCTGCCCCATTGCCCACCCTCTCCCCCCTGACCTGCCCGGTCCCACGGCTGCGCGCACCTGCCCCATGCCCACAACCCCTTGCCCACAACCCCTTGCGCACCACCCCTCCGCTCACCTGCCCCATGCCCTGCTTGACGATCTGCTCGACGAACGTCTTCCACGGCTCGTCGTCGCGCGCCGCGAGGTGCAGCTCGTAACCCGCCGCCTTGGTGCCCTTCACCAGCTGCCCCGCCTGCGGCCCGTCCGCGTACTTGCCCTCGAAGTTGATCTTCACCTGCGCGCACCCACGTGGGCGATCAGGGGAAAAACCACGTGGGCAATTAGGAGAGAAACCACGCGGGCGATCAAGGGTGACAACCACGTGGGAAATAACGTGGACGGTGATCCTAGGCGAAGGACAAGATCGTGCTGGGTGCTGATGAAAACGGGGCGAATGACGGCTTTCGGCGAGTTTCAGGTTTCGGGGCTTGTGGAACGGGGAGGGGGCAGACGAAAGAAGCAGATCATCCTAGCTTGCCCGTAACAAGGCAGGCGTAGGTCAAGATCCGGCCTGCTGCAGCACGCAGCACGCGGCACGCGGCACGTAGCACGTAGCAAGCAGCACGCACCGTGTGGCCGAGCTTGGCGCCCGAGCCGGTGAAGTTGGTGCGCTCGAACTCGTGCGTCTTCTCCAACTTGGCCTTCAGCGCCTGCGCGCACACAGACGGGACGCGGAGCGGCGGCGGGAAGGGCGGATGAGGGGCACGGGGGCCAAGAGCGATACACGCGGAAAAAGCGGAGGTAAATGATTCTGTCTTGCTCGAGAGATCTACCAATTTACAGTGAAGTGCTGAAATCAAACCACAGCAAACAAACGAACGAAACGTGGAGCGCTGAGGGTAGAGAGCGGAAGGAAGCGCGGGCACGAAGCAGATGAGGAGAGGCGCTCACCTTGTCGACTGCCTCTTGGGACACCTGCGAGGAACGGAGCAGACACGACACGAGCGGAGCAGCACAGGGAAGTAAGAAAGGTTATGAGCGCGTCGCTACCACGTTTGAGATTTCTCAGAAGCGACCGCGGCGAAAGCGAGGAGCTACTGTGAAGAGTTCCGACAAGGCGAAAGCGGAAAGGAAGACGCGAGGTCCTGCGGGGCAGTAAGCAATGAAATTGACGGTACCTTGGGGCGGGGCCCAGTGGCCTTGATGGCCTTGTTGGTGTACGGGCCCAGCGTCACCTTCACCTTCTGCTCCGTGCGCAGCTCCTGCGCCACCACGCGCACTGCGCCCCCCGCCGACCGCCGTTGCCCCGCCTTGCGCACCGCGGGGAAGAGAGCCTGCGGTGAGCAGGAGAGACGGGCGGAAACAGTGAGACAAAACGGGATGGGATGGAAGCAGGAAACGCGGCACTTCGCACGAGAGAATGCGGGGAAGATAAAAAGGGAAGGATTAAGCGTCCTCGCAGAAGAGAAATGGTTGGGATAGTGCGTGATGAGGGGAATGTGACTCACTCGGGAGCTCTGAGTGAGCTCGCACGACTGGGAGAAGGACACGCTGCGAGCGCCAGCCACAGATGCGCTGTGCGAAGATTGCCGCAGCGAGGGGCCGGTGACTCCCTGCGAAGCGACAGCGCGCTCCGCAACGGAAGCAATCATTCTCGTGGCAGCCATGGCGGATGCAATGGGATGACAAAGCAAAAAGTGAAGTTTGGGAACTAACTTCGGAGGCGGAGAATGAGAGACCACCACAGTATGCTGTGGGTATGGACGTGTTATGGGCCAACATCACTGGCATGCAACATAGCTGAATAACCCTATGCAATTGTATGCAAAACCGTCGATACCTCGGTTTTGGAGGTATTGACATGTTGCGCTAGTATCTAGGTTCTTCTGAATGGACACACTGATTTCTACCGCGCTTATCTTTCCGCTAAACTTCGATTTATTCGGGCGACTGTTCTGCCAGATGAGCAACACTGTTCACTTCTTTTGACAGAAAAAATAAAACCCAATCGGAAAGGGATGCACACGGGGAGGCATCAACCCTAAAAACAATGCCCTTTCCCGTTTTTAGGGTTGATCCCTCCCTGAAATGAGTTCAGGTCCCTAGGGGTTATATATTTTTTCCTGACTGCCCTTGCAGTAACCGGTAGCAATATACTGGGTGCAATATATTGTTACGAAAAAGACCCCGCTAACTTCCATTCTAACGGATTTTCCTGCTAAAATTATCGTGCAAAATAGTTGCCCGCAGGAATCTTTGTCAGGCGCCGAACGGAGCGCGGCAAAAAACGTTTGAAACGAAATTGAAAACGCATTCGATTGTTGCACCCATTGCACCCTTTTTGTGCTGCGTCAGCTGTTACACAATGTTTTGAGTGGCGCTACCAGACAAATTTGCGAAGCGGAACTGGGGTATCGACGGTTTTGCATACCATCGAATAGGGGTACCAGACTAATTTGCATGTCTATGATGTTGGCCCACGTGTTATCGTTCCTTTTGGGGGACCTACGCTGACGTGGCAAACATTCATTGACCCAGCCGACAAATCGTCCGACTTGGACAGCCTCGAGGTTGGTTCGGCCCGGTTCATGGGCCAAGCTGGTGGCCTGCTTGGTTAGCTGCCCAAATGCCATTCGGCCCTGGGATTTTCACTACAGTGGGCTGAAATTCTTATCCAGGCGAAATCGGTTTCGCGTGCATGCACTAATGCTGGCGACTGTGACGAAAATAGACGTAACTGAAACAGCGTTACACAGGCAAAAAGTTCATAGTGTTTCCACGTCAACATGTGGAGCCAGAATGCGATTCGCACTTTGTTCAAAGCTCGTCACCCGAGACAGGTTCCGCGTCATTGTGCAATAGAGTCTTCGTGAAGCGACACGTGAGCACTTTCCAGCACACACAGTTGAAACCAGGATTTGCTCGAGAAAACAGAAGTTTCTGTACCACAGCGCCCTACTTCAACTGTACCCTCGTCCCTCGTTAGTGTCTCACTGAACCTAGAATAGAGTCACACCCGCCAGGTCTTTCTTGAATGTAGCTTTGATTGTTCGCCGAGTACTGCGAGAACCGTGCGCGACGAGGCCGGCAAGTGCTTATTTGCGAGAACAATTTTGAGGCGGTACTTTGAGAGCTGTCCATCCAATTCGTCAATTCCGCCATGTCCTGCCCGTTTCTCGCGGCGGCTGCAGCTTCTGGCGAGGCTAACGACGCGAGTCGCCCCGCCGGAGGCTGTCCTTTCGCGAAGCGTTTCGGTCTCCTTGGCTCATCTCCAAGCGACCCAGCGACGCAGCGAGATTTGCCTGTTGCAGCAGCGGCAGCAGCAGACGGCACAGGCGAAAAACACAAATCCGGACCACGAAATTCTGTTCCAGACGTGGTTGAAGGACGAGCGGACCGCAGCGGTGCTGCGGATGGGGGGAAGGCGGCCGGGGAAATCGGGGGGGAGAGCGGGCGGAAGGCTGCCGCGGGGCGGTGTCCGTACGGGTTCGACTCCGCAGCGGATGGGCGCATGGCGGCGGCTGTGGGGCCGATGAGTTGCGTGCTTTGCAAGGCGTTGCTGTTCGACCCCGCCCGCTGCGACCCGTGCAAACACGTGTACTGCAGGTGCGGGGTGTTGGGTTGGGGGAGAAGTGAAAGAGAGGAAGAGCGAGCGAGAGAAAGCGAGACAGGGGAGAGGTAATCGTTTTTTGCTACGAAAACCAGTCTTTTTCCTATGGCTTCCCTAGCGCGGCGATTCTCGTGGTGTTTCCACGTGTCTGATCGATTCCTTCACTTGTAGTACTCGTGCCTTGCTCGCCCTCATAGAGAACACGCCCATGCCCACCCTCGCACCCCCATTCCTCCCCTTCTCCTCTATGCGTCGACAACCCTTCTTTCTTCTACACTTCTCCCCTTCTCCTCCCCGCGCTGTCCCCCCCCCCTCCGTTCCCGCCGCCCCGTCCCCCCCGCCCCGTCCCCCCCGCTCCGTCCCCCCTGCTCCGTCTCCCCCGCTCCTTCCCCCCACGGGCAGGGGGTGCATAGCGCGGTTCACAGACTGTCCGCTGTGCGGGTGCGACGTGAAGGCTCTTCTTCCTGATGCAACGCTCACACATGCCGTGGACGCGTTCATCTCCGCGCACGTGCTGCACCGCCCTGCCCTGCTCCCCCCGTCACTGGCCGCACCACGCTCTGAGCCGCCTCCCAACGCGCTAGATGCTGCTGCTTCTGCTGCGGATTTGTCCGGCAAAGATGCTTCAGCAGCAGCAGATACAGAAGCCACGGATTCAGCAGCAGCAGCAGCAGCAGCAGCAGCAGCAGCCACAGCAGCAGCAGAGCGGGAGGCAGAGGCAGCGAGAGTGGAGACAGAGGCACTGGATCTAGACAAGGCCAGCCCGGGCAGCTTCCTCTTCATCCACGCCATGCGGGTACGATGCCGCTGCTGCTGCCCGCTGCTGGGCGCTGCTGGGTGCAACGAACGAGGGTACAAGGGGGTGAAAGGGGCACAGGAGAAGGGGTGATGTTGGAGAGGTGGGAAGGGAGCGGGGGAAAGGTTGAAGGGATGGGGAAATTAGGGAGGGATGGAGCAATAGATGTGGGAACGCCCAGTCTTGCGGCTGATGGTGTGGTTGTAGCCTTTTTTTACATGCCGCAAAAATCGTCTGTCTACGTACCTGAGTTCAATTCAATCTCTATCCTAGTGGTCAGGCTCTAGTCTCTCTTTTATCAAACACTCCAGCGCTTGCTATTTGCATGGTATCAGTCCTCGCTCTCCCTCTCGTCCCTCTGCCGCTGAAGCCTGAACCATCCCACCTCATGACCCGCCCTCTCATCTTCCCCATACGGCACCCACCAGGCCATGCAGCACGGTAACCTGCCCAGTGCGCGAGCTCGCTTCGCCCTCTCCGCCTTCTCGCTCAAGTCGTTTCTTTCCCCAGGCAATGCTGCCTCGGTTTCTGCTACTGCTGATGCTGCTGCTGATGCTGCTCGTGGTGTCAGCAGCAGCAGCTCCGCTGGTGATGCGAGAAAAAACGAGCCTCGGGAATCAGCCAGTATCGTTGCAGACTCACCAGTGCTAAAACCAGCTGCAGCAGCAGCAGCAGGCGGAGTGGAGCGGTCAGAAGCACAGCGGCGTGCAGCGGTGTCACGACTGGGGGCAGTGCTTGGCTCCCATGCCGACTGCTGGTGCGTGCCTTGCCACCCGCCTCTCCCTCTCTCCGCTCACACACCATTTCTCATCTCCAACTCATCTTCCTTTTCCCCATTCTAGTCCCTCTTTTTTTATTGCTGCTAGGAACTGTTTCTTGCTCTGATCATCGTATTCCCCTCCTGCCTTCCCTCTGCCCGGCCAAACGGCCATGCCCCGCCAGTCTGCTCATGTCTGACGTGGCATCGGCGGCCAGCAGCTACCAGGAGGCTGTCGATGTGCTCTCTGCTGCGCTGCCTGCGCTGGGCAAAGGCGAGACTGAGGCCGAGGGCGAGCGAGCAGTGGAGGAGGGGCAGCAGCAGGGCCTGGAGATGCATGGTGGTGGGGACTCTGACAGTGGTGCTGTTGATGACGAGGTGGGTGCTTGGACAGTGCTGGTGCGTTTACAATGAGAAAACTTATATTCACGAATCAGGCTTGATTGTTCTGGAGTTGCCATTGAGAAGTGGTTTGTCTTTAACTCAACCAGTAGTTTTGCTATCCCTCCACTGCCGCCCTGCCCTTGTGCTGGCATGCTCCTCATCATGCCACCTCTGCCATCAAAATGTGTTTCTGTCGTATCTTAATAACATCCTACCTTTCGATCATGCCACCGCAAGCAACCTCCACTGTCCACTCCGCCCCACCTCGTCTATGCCAGCTGCACCATGCGCTCTGTGTGACCCTCAACAAGTTGGGAGACCTGCACTACCGCTCCGACCACCTGCCTGAAGCTCTTGCTCTCTACCAGAGGGCTCTTGCGCGCAGGCAGCATGCACTGGCGCGCACTGAGGCATGCGCCCAGGCACGCGAGGGGGAGGGTGCAGTGAGGGAGACGGCCAGCAAGGTTCGTTGTGGCTTTGGCGTTGATTGCCTTGCGTTGGTTCTTGGTTGCAAGGTTGCTTTGAGGGCCGTGTCTTGATTGCTGTTGTGCCCGGTGTTTATGGCTGGTATGCCTTAACTATTTCAGACCCATAAACAGCTCGCATGACATCTCATCTTTTACTGCCGTCTCAGCAATTCTTCACCCCCTCCCCTTTGCACTGCCACTCTTCCCTCCCCTCTTTTCTCATCTCCCTGTCATCTTCCGAACAAACTTTTTCCCCTTCCCTCCCTCCCTCCCGTCCTGTCTCCCACCCCCCCTCCTTCCCACCCTCCCTCTCTCCCTCTCTCCTCCTATCACACACCCCCTGCAGGCATTAGACGTGGCAGTGTCAACAGCCAAGGTGGCGGACGTGCAGCAGGCGCTGGGGGAGGAGGAGAGTGCGAGGGAGGGCTTCTCACGTGCACTGCGCCTCGTGCAGGCCGCCAAAGAGACCCTCAGTGCCGCTGCTGCTGCTGCCGGACAGGGGGACTGCTTGGCCCTGCTGGATAAGGTCAGGAATGGCGAGGCGAGAGGTATGGGGTGTGGGTTGTGGCTGGATTGTGTTTAAGGGTTGTTGTTGGGGTGTGGGGTGTGGGGTGTTGGGTGTGGGGTGTGGGGTGTGGGGTGTGGGGTGTATGTATGCATGGAATGGGGAGTGCTGGGATGCGTGGGGTTATGGCACAGCTAGCCACATTCTGGTGTTTCTCTTTGTGGATTCCTTGGTTGCAGGTGGAGGCCACACAGGCCTTCCTGCAACAGCAGCTGGTGGCAGCATCAGGAGCAATAGGAGCAGCAGCAGCAGGGACTGCAGAAGGAGAGGCAGATGCTAAGAAATGACTTGAGAAGAACGCCTGACATGCTGCCTGTCACTGAACCAAGTGCTTTTACCTAGACCTTAGAACATGTTCACCCACCGTTCCAGCAGCAAGCCGCCAGCAGCTTGTTGACAGACATCTGTTATCAGGATGAAATCGGAACAAAGGGTCGGTCTTCTTAACTGTTGAATTAGCATGCCATGAGCAGCACTTAAACACACTGACCACCTAAACTATTGTGACACATATGTATACTGTAAACCTTAGTCTGTACGCTAAATGAAATGGCTCATCTTCCTAGCCTACCTAATCTCGGCCCATCAACTGCTAGGAGGAGAGGTGCCTATCAAGTGAACGCAGTCAATCCTCTCCGCAAGTTGCAGAACACCCCTGCACGCCTCCTGTTCCCACAACTTCCCTCCCACGGCCTCATCCCGTGCATACACCGCCAAGCCCCACGTGAAGCTCTTGGCTCGGGCAGGCGAGAAGTTCTCCCCCACCGACACACAGCCCGCTGCTGCACCACCAACAGCCTTGAGCTGGGCCACTGCTGCTGCTATGGCGTCAGGTGATGCGGACTGCTGCCATTGGATCATGGCGGTGTGGACAGAGCCATGTGGGGGCGGAGCGGAGGAGGCCGAGGCATCCGGGACGTCGGTTTCCCAATCGACGGCTGCGATGTCACTGATGATGGGCTTGACGTTCTCTGTCACCACGGCCACGTGCTGTGGCGACACCGCGTATTGTTCCAGCGCGTCGCGCGACTCGTACCGCCCGAACAGCGCGTGCGTCCACGGGCTAGCGGAGGGCGCGGCGGCGGAAGACGCGCCGGCGGGCGCGGCGGGGACGGCGGGAAGAGCGGGTCCCGCGGAGAGGTAGAGCACGCCTGGGAGGGTACGCAGCGCGTTGAGGTTGGTGAGGAAGGTAGCGACGCGATCAGCGGGGGTGTCTGGCTTGACCTGAGGCGCGACGGAGAGATGTGGGAAATGTGTGGGAGTACGGGACGAAACGGGTATGAAAGGTTATGGGAGGTGGGGGGGAGAGGGTGGTGTTAACAGAAACGGGTAATCCGGTAACGTCGAGAGTTTGGAATGGCATGCGCTTAGGATTTTCCTGGTTTCGCGAAGCACTCGGAGCTGTGAGCAGCACTTTGACGCTTGCGTTCTCACCTGGAAGAAGACGAGATGCTCCACTACGGGCCGTGCAGCCGCCATGGGTCGAGATTGAAATCAAGCAATTCTCGATGCAGTGCGGCAGCTGCGGAAGCACGCGACGTGGGCCGTGCAGGTCCGCAGGTGCACGTACCGCAAGTTGCGGTGACGATGGGTTCGGAAAGATGGCTGCTTTCCAGGCTTCAACGGTCCCACCCTTCTGATATGCCTGCAGCTGTGAATCTGGCTTTCACCTGAATCTGGGTAGCGCGAAAGAAGACGGTTACCTTGTATAGATGCTACCACTCGCGCCTGGTTTGGGAGGCAGCATGGTCGGAATCACGAATTCCACTGTGGTGAACATTCTCGCGAATTTCGTCCATCGCCATCACGGCACATTCTGCCCAGACATTTCAGTGGGATGGCATCGTACGAACTCTCCTTGAATTCGTCACATTCCACGTGGCCCGACCCAAAACTGCTGCCATTCGTCGAACCTCGTTCGGTTTGGTTTGCCTGACACAGGCTGACACGGGGGTGGAGTGTGTGTTTTCAGCCAACTTCAAACTCTAAAACGGTTGAGAGCGATAAAGTACGATTCAAGAAATAAGCAGTGCGGTCCAGAACTTGGTGATGGTTGGAACAAGAGCGATTCACACGACGGGCGTCGTCTCTGTCACTCCCTGCTGTGTCACTCGCCACACCACCATCACTCGGCAAAAGCAAACCCCCCTTCACCCACCTACCCACCACTGCGTTCCATTCCCACGTGTTCGCACGCGTTTAGTTGCTGCGAGTGACTCTGGCCCTTCCTAGGGATAGGCTCAGGTCGGATCTTCTCGCGACACGCCTGCGCGCGTCTTCCGCGTCGTCCTGCCCATCCGCCTACTCCCAGCTCGGTTCGCGTTTTTTTGGATGCAACCCCTCCGAGAACTCGGTCGATAACATTTGCGCTGCGGAGGCGCGTGATCCGCGTTAGCGTGGATGGGGAACTGGCTATCGCGGGACAGGGGGAAGCCAGTCGAGCGGAGTCCAGCTGAGCGGAAGTCAAACGAGGGGGACACAAGCGAGCGGAAGCCGGTCGAGCGGAAGCCGGTCGAGCGGAAGCCGGTTGAGCGGAAGCCGGTCGAGCGGAAGCCGATCGAGTGGAAGCCGTTTGAACGGAAGCCATTCGAGTGGGAATTGATCGATAAGCATCCGGTCGGGGGAAGCTCTCGCGGGGATAGGGACAAGGCGTTTGCGCGGAGCCTTCGATCTGCGATCGTTGCGGAGAGCGCGGAGCGGCGCGGGGCGGAGGGGGGACTGGGAGAGGTTGGCCCTGCCCGGATGGCGGAAGCACTCCGCGGTGAGGAAGGGGAAAGGCTAGCGCGCGTGGAGCAGGTGACGGGTATAAGCGGAGGGGAAGGATCGGGGGGCAAGCGCGGGGATGCAGGGGGAGTAATTGACGTGAAAGGCATGTTAGCGGAGGGGGGTGCGGGCGAGGTGAAGGGGGAAGCGGAGGAAACGAGTGGAGTGGCGGAAGCGATGGAGGAGGATGCGGGAGGGGAGGCGGAACGGCCAGCGGGGGGAAGCGCGGGAGCGGAAGAATTGAGGGAGGAGATGATGGTAGAGGCGGGGGTGGAGGGAGCGGGCGGAGCGGAGGAAGCAGGGTGCCCAGAGAAAGCAGGGGGAGCAGAGGGAGCGGAGGGAGCAGGGGCAGACGAGGAGCGGAGTAGAGCGAAGGGCGAGGGGGCTTCTGAGTGTGCGGCGCGGGAGGAGGGGGGCATGGTGGAAGGGGGAGAGGGAGACGAGCAGAACGCGGAGGAAGAACTGCGGGGCGGGCTGCAGGAGGCGCAGCAGGAGCAGCGGCAAGAGGAGCAGCAAGAGGAGCAGCAAGAGGGACAGCAAGAGGGACAGCGAGAGGGAGAGCGAGAGGGACGGCAAGAGGATGCGGGCGCTGCTGGGCTGGTGAATGACGGGTGTGAGGAGGTGATGAGAGACGAGGGAGGCGAGGGGTATGAGGAGAGGACGGCAGGGGTGCGGAATAAGGGTGAAGGGGAGAGGCATGTGGGAGAGAGCGGTGTGGACGAGAGTGGTGTGCGAGAGACCATGCTACTAGGAGAACCAGTGGAGGGAGACATAGCAGGAAGGGAGGCGACGGGAGGAAGCAACAAGGAAGGGGAAGAGGGCGATGATGACGAGAAGGGCGGAGTGGTGGGGAGTGAGGGAGAAAGGGATATGGGGACGGACGGCGAGAAGGAGTTGTTGGTAGCTAAGGTAGAGCACGAGGGAGGTGCGAAGGGGAGGGACGAGAGAGGGGAGGAGCGAGAGGAGGAGGGAAGGGATGGCACAGGGGAGAAGGGAGGGGAGGAGGGAAGGAAGGAGGGAGTAGAGGAGGGAAGGAAAGAGGGAGGGGAGGAGGGAAGGAAGGAGGGAGTAGAGGAGGGAAGGAAAGAGGGAGGGGAGGAGGGAGGGGAGGAGGGAGGGGAGGAGAGACGGGAAGAGGGAGGGGACGAGGACGGCGGGGAAGGAGAAGTGGAGAAGGCAGAAGCGAAGGGGGGGGAGAGGAGGAAGAAACTGTTGATACTGGATGTGAACGGGCTGCTGGTGGACACGTGCTATGTGCGCGATGGCATTCCACCGGGCCAGCGCCCTCCAGACGGCCGCGCCAACAACTTCCATGGTGCGCGCCGTGCGTGCTCGCAAGGGCCAAGGGCCCCTCAGAGCAGCATCGGCTGCTCGTGCTTGGTGCTCCCTCTGTCGTCATCTCACACCGCACCCTGCCCTCTGCACCCTGCCCTCTGCACCCTGCCCTCTGCACCCTGCCCTCTGCACCCTGCCCTCTGCACCCTGCCCTCTGCACCCTGCCCTCTGCACCCTGCCCTCTGCACCCTGCCCTCTGCACCCTGCCCTCTGCACCCTGCCCTCTGCACCCTGCCCTCTGCACCCTGCCCTCTGCACCCTGCCCTCTGCACCCTGCCCTCTGCACCCTGCCCTCTGCACCCTGCCCTCTGCACCCTGCCCTCTGCACCCTGCCCTCTGCACCCTGCCCTCTGCACCCTGCCCTCTGCACCCTGCCCTCTGCACCCTGCCCTCTGCACCCTGCCCTCTGCACCCTGCCCTCTGCACCCTGCCCTCTGCACCCTGCCCTCTGCACCCTGCCCTCTGCACCCTGCCCTCTGCACCCTGCCCTCTGCACCCTGCCCTCTGCACCCTGCCCTCTGCACCCTGCCCTCTGCACCCTGCCCTCTGCACCCTGCCCTCTGCACCCTGCCCTCTGCACCCTGCCCTCTGCACCCTGCCCTCTGCACCCTGCCCTCTGCACCCTGCCCTCTGCACCCTGCCCTCTGCACCCTGCCCTCTGCACCCTGCCCTCTGCACCCTGCCCTCTGCACCCTGCCCTCTGCACCCTGCCCTCTGCACCCTGCCCTCTGCACCCTGCCCTCTGCACCCTGCCCTCTGCACCCTGCCCTCTGCACCCTGCCCTCTGCACCCTGCCCTCTGCACCCTGCCCTCTGCACCCTGCCCTCTGCACCCTGCCCTCTGCACCCTGCCCTCTGCACCCTGCCCTCTGCACCCTGCCCTCTGCACCCTGCCCTCTGCACCCTGCCCTCTGCACCCTGCCCTCTGCACCCTGCCCTCTGCACCCTGCCCTCTGCACCCTGCCCTCTGCACCCTGCCCTCTGCACCCTGCCCTCTGCACCCTGCCCTCTGCACCCTGCCCTCTGCACCCTGCCCTCTGCACCCTGCCCTCTGCACCCTGCCCTCTGCACCCTGCCCTCTGCACCCTGCCCCTCTGCACCCTGCCCTCTGCACCCTGCCCTCTGCACCCTGCCCTCTGCACCCTGCCCTCTGCACCCTGCCCTCTGCAACCCTGCCCTCTGCACCCTGGCCCTCTGCACCCTGCCCTCTGCACCCTGCCCTCTGCACCCTGCCCTCTGCACCCTGCCCTCTGCACCCTGCCCTCTGCACCCTGCCCTCTGCACCCTGCCCTCTGCACCCTGCCCTCTGCACCCTGCCCTCTGCACCCTGCCCTCTGCACCCTGCCCTCTGCAACCCTGCCCTCTGCACCCTGCCCTCTGCACCCTGCCCTCTGCACCCTGCCCTCTGCACCCTGCCATCTGCACCCTGCCCTCTGCACCCTGCCCCTCTGCACCCTGCCCTCTGCACCCTGCCCTCTGCACCCTGCCCTCTGCACCCTGCCCTCTGCACCCTGCCCTCTGCACCCTGCCCTCTGCACCCTGCCCTCTGCACCCTGCCCTCTGCACCCTGCCCTCTGCACCCTGCCCTCTGCACCCTGCCCTCTGCACCCTGCCCTCTGCACCCTGCCCTCCCTGCACCCTGCCCTCTGCACCCTGCCCTCTGCACCCTGCCCTCTGCACCCTGCCCTCTGCACCCTGCCCTCTGCACCCTGCCCTCTGCACCCTGCCCTCTGCACCCTGCCCTCTGCACCCTGCCCTCTGCACCCTGCCCTCTGCACCCTGCCCTCTGCACCCTGCCCTCTGCACCCTGCCCTCTGCACCCTGCCCTCTGCACCCTGCCCTCTGCACCCTGCCCTCTGCACCCTGCCCTCTGCACCCTGCCCTCTGCACCCTGCCCTCTGCACCCTGCCCTCTGCACCCTGCCCTCTGCACCCTGCCCTCTGCACCCTGCCCTCTGCACCCTGCCCTCTGCACCCTGCCCTCTGCACCCTGCCCTCTGCACCCTGCCCTCTGCACCCTGCCCTCTGCACCCTGCCCTGCACCCTGCCCTCTGCACCCTGCCCTCTGCACCCTGCCCTCTGCACCCTGCCCTCTGCACACTGCCCTCTGCACCCTGCCCTCTGCACCCTGCCCTCTGCACCCTGCCCTCTGCACCCTGCCCTCTGCACCCTGCCCTCTGCACCCTGCCCTCTGCACCCTGCCCTCTGCACCCTGCCCTCTGCACCCTGCCCTCTGCACCCTGCCCTCTGCACCCTGCCCTCTGCACCTGCCCTCTGCACCCTGCCCTCTGCACCCTGCCCTCTGCACCCTGCCCTCTGCACCCTGCCCTCTGCACCCTGCCCTCTGCACCCTGCCCTCTGCACCCTGCCCTCTGCACCCTGCCCTCTGCACCCTGCCCTCTGCACCCTGCCCTCTGCACCCTGCCCTCTGCACCCTGCCCTCTGCACCCTGCCCTCTGCACCCTGCCCTCTGCACCCTGCCCTCTGCACCCTGCCCTCTGCACCCTGCCCTCTGCACCCTGCCCTCTGCACCCTGCCCTCTGCACCCTGCCCTCTGCACCCTGCCCTCTGCACCCTGCCCTCTGCACCCTGCCCTCTGCACCCTGCCCTCTGCACCCTGCCCTCTGCACCCTGCCCTCTGCACCTGCCCTCTGCACCCTGCCCTCTGCACCCTGCCCTCTGCAACCCTGCCCTCTGCACCCTGCCCTCTGCACCCTGCCCTCTGCACCCTGCCCTCTGCACCCTGCCCTCTGCACCCTGCCCTCTGCACCCTGCCCTCTGCACCCTGCCCTCTGCACCCTGCCCTCTGCACCCTGCCTCTGCACCCTGCCCTCTGCACCCTGCCCTCTGCACCCTGCCCTCTGCACCCTGCCCTCTGCACCTGCCTCTGCACCCTGCCCTCTGCACCCTGCCCTCTGCACCCTGCCCTCTGCACCCTGCCCTCTGCACCCTGCCCTCTGCACCCTGCCCTCTGCACCCTGCCCTCTGCACCCTGCCCTCTGCACCCTGCCCTCTGCACCCTGCCCTCTGCACCCTGCCCTCTGCACCCTGCCCTCTGCACCCTGCCCTCTGCACCCTGCCCTCTGCACCCTGCCCTCTGCACCCTGCCCTCTGCACCCTGCCCTCTGCACCCTGCCCTCTGCACCCTGCCCTCTGCACCCTGCCCTCTGCACCCTGCCCTCTGCACCCTGCCCTCTGCACCCTGCCCTCTGCACCCTGCCCTCTGCACCCTGCCCTCTGCACCCTGCCCTCTGCACCCTGCCCTCTGCACCCTGCCCTCTGCACCCTGCCCTCTGCACCCTGCCCTCTGCACCCTGCCCTCTGCACCCTGCCCTCTGCACCCTGCCCTCTGCACCCTGCCCTCTGCACCCTGCCCTCTGCACCCTGCCCTCTGCACCCTGCCCTCTGCACCCTGCCCTCTGCACCCTGCCCTCTGCACCCTGCCCTCTGCACCCTGCCCTCTGCACCCTGCCCTCTGCACCCTGCCCTCTGCACCCTGCCCTCTGCACCCTGCCCTCTGCACCCTGCCCTCTGCACCCTGCCCTCTGCACCCTGCCCTCTGCACCCTGCCCTCTGCACCCTGCCCTCTGCACCCTGCCCTCTGCACCCTGCACCATGCATGCACTCCCAGTGGAAAATTGCTTCATGCTCAGGTTGCGCTCTTAACCAGCCCGCCCACTTTCCACCATTGCGATTGAAGCCTTGATGATCTCTGTGCTGGTCTTCTTGCAATACCTGGCCTTCTCCATCCGCCCTCACCTCCCCTTCCCCTCCCAGTTCACCACCTCTCTCTTTCCCCTTCCCTCCTCCCTTCCCCCTCTCTCGCCCACCTCTCGCCCCTCCCCGCATTCCCCGCCCCGCATCCTCCCCCCGTTGCAGTGTACCGGCGGCCGTTCTGCGAGGAGTTTGCGCGCTTCTGCCTGGACAACTTTTTGGTCGCCGTGTGGTCGTCATCCCGCATGTGAGCATGGGGGCACAGGGCGGGGGGACCAGGGGCAGGGGGCAGGGGGCAGGGGGCAGGGGGCAGGGGGCAGGGGACGGGTGGCATGTGGCATGGGGACAGAGAACGGATGGCATGGGGCAGGGGGCATGGGGGCAGGAGGCATGGCTCATGAGGCATGACGCATGGGGCATGACGCATGGGGCATGACGCATGGGGCACCGTCCAGTTTGTTTTGAAATTGAGAAAGTGCTGCAGGATCCTATGGAAATATATAATTGGTGGCCTCCCATGTGTTTGCCCGCCCGCCCTTGCACTTCCGTTGTGTGGCGTCACGTCACCATATGTTTGCATGGATGAATGCATGGCTTCGCTGCCTTGTTTCCAGTCGACTCATGATTCCACTGCATGGTTTCGCTGCCTAATATATCTATTCCACCTGCTCCCTCCCTGCTCTGCGGTCATGCGCCGCCCCTTCCCCCACCCTCTGTGCTGTGCTCGTGAATCAACCAGGTACAACGTGTGTGCGCTGCTGGAGTTTGTCTTCCCACAGCAGCGCCAGAACGAGATCGCCTTCATCTGGGTATGCACTGTGCACTCTGCACTCTGCACTGTGCACTCTGCACTCTGCACTCTGCACTCTGCACTATGCACTGTGCACTGTGCAAGCCCCGATGCCCCATGCGCACACGCATCACGTCTGCTCAGCTCACAGTCAATCACATCACATGTGCCCAGGATGCCCTGTGACCGGGGTTCCATCCATGTTCTCATGTTGTGACTCATGACTCTCTTGAAACCAAGCCTGGGTGCCGCTTATCACCATGATGACTCACTCGCCTGTACCTTGCACCACACCACCCGACCCCACCCCACCAGGACCAAGCGCGGTGCACGAACACAGGGCTGAAGCACCCGGCGAACCGCCACAAGCCCATCTTCCTAAAGGAGCTGAGCCACGTGTGGGGCAACGTGCACCAAGACATGCCCTGGCCGCCCGGCACGTACGGCCCCTCCAACACGCTGCTGCTCGATGACTCGCCCTACAAGGCCGTGCTTAACCCGGTCAGTAGTGGTGGAGCGCGGTGAAGAGGAGTGGTTGGACGTGTTGATTCCGCCTGTACCTGCTGCGTTTTCTCTAGTGTTGGCTGGCCTTGCAGCGCGTTCCTCCTCTGCTGCCTCCCCTTCATTGCCTTCTTTTGTTTCTGCGGCTCCTGCTGCTCTTTTTGAGGCGCCTCAAAATTTGTTTCTGGGGCGCCTGCTGCTCTTTGTTCTACTGCATCCACGGTGCAGTGTCTCTCAAGCCAACCGTCCCTCTGTCACCCTGGTCCTATGTAGGAACTGCCAGTAATGCTTTCCTGTTGCTTTGCTGCTCTGTTGTTGCTTCTGCTTTGTTGCTTCGTTGCAGGAGCACACAGCCATCTTCCCGCAGACCTACCATCTCACTGACACTCTCGACAATGCACTCGGTACCTCTTTCTTCCCTTTCTTATTCCTCACTCTTGCTCTTCCTATCTGCCAAGCAACATCCGCAGCTCTTCCACTTGCTTCATTCCACCATGCCACATACCATCTTTCCCTCCTCTCTCTCTGTTCCCTTCATTCCCTTCATACTTCTCTTTTCCCTCACCGTTCAACACCCCTCCTCCACCCCGTCTTCCCCATTCCCCCCTTCCCCAGCACCCTCGGGATCTCTCCGAGCATACCTGTCACAGCTGGCAGCAGCAGCGGACGTCCCCACGTTCGTGTGCAGCAACCCCTTGGGTCTGCCTGCCGTCAGAGTCGCTCACTTGCACGACCTGCTGCTTCTGCTCCGCCCTCCATCCCCTCCCCCACATGCCTCTGCTGCTCCTGCTAGAGGCGCTTCACATCGTGCTTCTGCCCCCTCCCATGCTGCTGCTGCTGCTGCTGCTGCTGCTGCTGCTGCTGCTGTGGGTGCTTCTGGAAAAGGGGGCGGTGGGTTTGGGGGGGATGCAGCTGGGCAGAAGAGGAAAAAGAAGCAGAAGAAGAAGCAGAAGAAAAAGAAACAGAAGAAGCAGAAGGAGGCGTTGGCGCAGCAGCAGGGGGGTGAGAAGGAAGGAGGGGAGGATGAGAGCATGCATGGTTCAAGTGCACTGGAAGGGAGTGCTTCCTTGAATCAGCATGTTGGTGGTGGTGAGGGAGGCGTGGTTGAGGAAACAGCTAGGCGGAAAGTAGAAGTGTCAGAAGGAGAAGAAGAAGATGAAGGAGAGGAGGACGACGAGGAAGAAGAGGAGGATGAGGAGGGGGATGAGGAGGATGGGGAGGAGGAGGAAGAGGAAAATGGCGATGGCGCCGAGGGTGTTGAGAATGCTGCTGGGGCAGGAGCTGCGTCTGTGCCTGTCACTAATGGAGCCCCCACCCCTTCTGCTACTGAGTGGGTCCCAGCGGTGCCTGTTACCCACCACAGTCGCTGGGACCAGAAGCAAGGCTCTTTCGCTGCTGCCTCTGCTAATGCTTCTGCTGCTGGTGGTTGCAGTGACTTTGCTGGTCGTGGTGACCTCACCACAGGGCCTATCCGTGGGACTGCGGGTATGGCTGCTACGGCGAACCAGCAGCAGCAGCAGCATTTGCAACACCAGCAGCAGTGGCAGCAGCAACGCAGCGGTGAGTGGAGAGGGAGAGGCAGTGGGTGGGGTGTTCAGCCTGTGAGTGGTTTCGTGGATAGCAAACAAGGTAGGAGCGTTCAGGCTGCTTCGAGGAATGGTGAAACAATTACCCCGTGGAATGCTTGGCAACAGCAGCAACAACAACAGCAGCAGCAGCAGCAGCAGCAATACCCTAATCAGCAGACACAGCAGCAGCAGTATCCCAATCAGCAGCAGTATCTTAATCAGCAGCAGAACCTTCCTCCACCATATGCTACCGCTCCCAACACCTCACCCCCGCCATTCCTCCCTCATGCACCCATGCCTCAACCCCCAAACCAACCACAGCAGGTCCCATCACAGCAACCCCTAGGCCCGCCCCACCCATTCCACCCCCACCCGCTCTCCCTTCCCCACACCCCCACCTTCCCATTCGCCCCACCTCACCCCGGGGCCCCACTCATGGCCTTTCCTCCTGGTCAGGGCTACGGGTATGGGCATGGGCAGGGAGGGTATGCGGGAGGGGCAGCAGGGGTAGTAGGAGTTGGTGGGGCCTTGCCTGTTCCCCTGGGATCTGTTACACAGGTGGCAAGTGGTTGGCAGGAGCAGGGTGGATGTGGGGCCATGGGGGGGTGGCAGGGACAGGGGCAGGGACAGGGACAGGGACAGGGAGGGGGGGGTTGGCAGGGGCAGGAGGCTGGGAGGGGGGGTGGATGGTATGGAGGTGGGCGGAGGGAGGGAGGAGGGCGGGGTGAGAGTCAGGATTACCGGCAGCAGAGGCAGCCGCAGCAGCAGAACAGCAGGTGGGACAGGGACAGGGTCAGGGACTGGAGGGGCAATCGGGGTTGAACTTCACCGTTACTGATACTTGTACCGTACTATGGTACAGCCACACTCTTGTTTGCCAGGGGTAGTAGACAGTATGAAGTTTCATTACCGTACATTTTTTTCCCCACTGCGAAGTGTTTGGAAGGAAAACCCTGTTGAACATTAACTGCCAGGTTAGGCAGATGTCAAGCCTCATATGCAAACACAATCAAAACTCCATATGAGTTTTGAATAAATAAAACCCCCCTTACGATACATGTAAGCCTAACATTGTGCCAATCAATCAATCCACAACCTGAACGAGCTCAAAGAGCTTTCCCTTGATAGCCTCCTCGAGCACTATCATGGGAGTAAGCTCCTTGCCCTCCAACACAGCCAGCAGCATACCCTTGCTGAACCCCGACACCAGCGCCACCCCATCCTCACTCGCAGCCACAGGCGTGCTGCTCGCAGACGCATCCCCCCTCAGGTTCCAGTACACTATCTGCGGCACAGGGTAACCCGCCGCAGTGTATTTGCGCACAATCGCCTCGTGGTCCGTCTCCCAGTCGCCTTCACTAGCCCTGCCTGCTTCGTCAAACTGCATGTCAGAAAACACATACAGGCGCTGCACCATGTCGGCCGGGTCTAGCTGGAACTGCTGCGCGCGGGACAGCAGCAGGTCAAACACCGCCTGGAAGTTGGTGTTGTAGCCCCAGTCCATGTGCTGCGTGCGTCTCACGCGCTCCACCAGCGTCTCTCCCTGCACGCGGTGGATTGTGGGCTGCGCGGAGAAGGTAATGAGGTGGTTCTTCCACGGCTCGCTGCTCACCTCGCTCACGAGCAGCGACAGTGCAATGGCCACCTCCATGGGTATACCTGCCATGCTCCCCGACACATCGCACACCGCCATGCTGTTCCCGAACGACCCCTTGCTGCGCACATCAGCCACCATGGCCTTCCACTGGAGCTCACCCACTGTATCGTCACTATCCCCCACTGATTCCATGGCCGTTTTTACCACTTCATGCGGCAGCAGCGCTCCCGAAGCGATCTTTGCCTCCCCGCCCTTCACATCCTCGAGGTACTCTTTGAACCTCGCCTCGTCATGGGAGAGAAAGAGCTTGCGGCTCTTTTTCATGCAGACGGATGGCACGCGCCCGTACGCCACGTGCTCCCACCGCCCGCTGCTCATGTGCACCTCGGGCACCTCCAGCACTCTCCGCAGCGGCGCCAGCACCTCCCTCTGCAGCCGCTCCTTTGCTGCGCGCACGTACCCCCCCGCGCCCGCTGCTGCTCCACCGTCCACATCCATCTCGGCATCAGCAGCATCGGATTTAGCGGCAGCAGCAGCAGCAGGAGCGGCAGAGGAAGGAGTGGAAGAGGAGGAGGATTGGGGGAAGAGTTGGAGGGCGATGGAGGAGGTGAGGAGAGTGCAGTGGTCGAACGACCTGCCAGGGGAGGGGGCCCACTTGGCAGCCAGAGACAGCTTCGGCGCCGGCATCCCCATCCACTTGCGCTTCTTCTTGCCCTTGCCACCGCTCTCGCCATCCCCTCCCTTCTCCTCTTTCTCTTCCTTCAGCCCCTCCCCCTCTACCTCCATAGCCTTCTCCCCTGCCTCTGCCTTCTCGTTTTCCTTCTTCAACTCCCCCTCCTCCGACTTCGCCCCTCCCCCCTCTGCGGTCTTCCGCGCGCGCTTCTCTTCAAATGCGCGCATCGTCTCCAGGTCCCCCTTCAGCGCAGCCGCGAAGACGGCCCCCACCGCGTTGTGCAGGGCGCGCAGCCGCTCACTCGACTCGTACGCGTGAGCCACCGCCGCCGCCCTCCGCGCGTGCGCTTCCTTGCGCACAACCGCCGCGCGCTCGCTCTCCTCCGCCATCTGCCGCCTGTTCTCCGCCACCCGCTCCTCACGACTCTTGCCTCCCTTGCCGCCCCTGCTCCCGTTCCCATCGCGCTTCCCCATCATCTTCTTTCCATGATTCGTGCCATTCCAAGGCACCGTACCGTCCTCCATGGCGTCTACGCCTTCCTCCGCCAGAGCGAGCCGCACGATCTCCAGAAGATCCTTGAAGCACCCGAATTCCGGAACCAGCCACAGATTCTGCACGAGGGTCCGCGGGTGGTTTTGGTAAAGCCACGTGACGCAGTGGAAGAAGCTGGAGCGGTCGCTTTTACCCGTGCCGCGCACCGCGCGCAGCTGCATCACGAGCCGCAGCGCCGTGGCTGGGTCGTCCGCCCATGCAGCCTCGAGCCGCCGGTGCGCATCGTCGCGCTCGGTCTGCGGCAGCACGTGGAAGAGGAAATCCACGCACGCGCTCCCCGATGACACGTATGTATCCGCGAGGTTCTCCGTGAGGCCCCGCTCCGGCTCGCTTGCGACGGGCTCCGTTTTCATGTCGTCGGTGGCATTGTTGTCTGCGATCTTGGAACGCGTCGCGTGCTCAGATGGCGGAGTTTGAACCTCTGGCAGTTTCTTGGAAGGGTCATCCTCGTTGACTGGACGACGCGCACGCAACTCCTGAAGATAAGGCAGGGCCGACGCAGGGCACTGTAGCACGTGGCTCGTGTCTACTGGAAGTGGGCCTGGGAGAAAGGTGGCAGCCTCGGCCCCCATGGCCGATATCCGAGGGACTGAAAAATGAAGAGATTTTTGCTCTAGCTTCTAAGTGACGATCGGGAAGAAAACAGCCTCGGAGCGATCTAGAAGGCTCCCTGTTTCGAAAATGTGCATTCCCTAGACTCAGAATGCCGTAGTATTTACTCTCGGGAATCGGGATGCCGCGATGGTCGAATTGAAAGGGGATGTGTGTTTGAGTGCTCAGGAAGGCTTGGTCACTGTATTGGGATTGGTCCACACGATGATTGACCAGCCGAACCAAATGCTACCAGGTTTGGACGAATTATTGACAGCACAGAGATTCCGTGAGGCGAGGGTGCTTGAAGATAAGGTTTGGTTCGGTCCGTACGCGTTACACCCTCTGAACCCTGAACAGAGACGTGGCGGACACGCTTTGCTGCCCCTCCCTGTTCGCACGATTTTTTTCCTTAGGGGGGCATAGTGAGTCAGCCTCGTACATCACGCTCACGGCCTCGAGTCTAGTTCGGATCATCAGGTGGCGCCTTCCAATCTTAGCGCTCCTCGTGGCAGATCATACGTTCCGCAATCCCTCGTCAGGTTTGGTGTCGAGTTGTAGCAAAGCTCCAGCATGTCCAGGTCAGACGTGCGACGCTCGATCTGTCTGGCCCGACACTCAGTATTCTCGAAAGCCAATCAGATCCGTTACATAAGAATTTCGCCTATTTCGTCCTTGCAACGAAATACTTCGTTAAAACCACATCCCTAAATCTTCAACAGCCCATCCTTACACCACCCTGACTCCATCCAGCGAGGTTCTCCCCGAGAGGCAGAGAGAGCAGGAAGCCCATCCAACCCCAACACCATTGCACCCCACGTCCTTCCAATGCCTGGACTTGCTCACTTTCCATTGGCTAGGATCTACCGCGAAACCGACTCGAGTCGCCGTGTTTCGTTTCGAATTGAAGGTTTGCCGTTCCCGCCTGTCGACAACGTTCGCTCGATCGGTCTGATCCCTAGATCCGTTTTGTAGGAAAACGATCCGACGATTCTAGCTCACCCGGTCGCTTTTTGTGCTGCCAACGGCCATCTCACCAGAAACCAAGCCCCAAAATACGAAACCTATCGGAGCCGCGTGGCCTAAAACAAGGAGGACCCTCCTTTTTGTCTTCGTTCAGTAACCGTCCAGTGAACCGCGAGGGTTGAGCCCCACACCCCCAGTTCCCCTCGCTCACTTGGGTTTGGCTCTGGAGTTCCCATCACGCCAGGCATTTTCGACCAACGACATTCCAACCAGAAAATTTTCCGAGCGACATTTCGACCTGAGGTTTCTTGGAGAGACATTTCGACGAGGCAGTTTAGGCATTCGCACATTCAACTGAACATTATGCTCCATCCTCTCCAACTCAGAGCTCGCCTCGCCGTAGATGAAGCGCATTGCCACTTGGACAGGGCAACTGTCCCAGCTCCTTCACACACGCGACAAGCGATCAGCCTTACACGCATCAGAAGGATCAGTTCGTGGGATTGCTGCTGGTTTCGTGCAGCTGCAATGTGTTCCGAGCAGCACTGGTAATTCTTTTATTTTATTCTACCTGCATTTAGCTTACGTTCCGACCTATTTCTCGTCGTTTTTTTGCAAGTTTTTTACATGCGATTTGTTCTCTTACAGGCAATGGAACATCGTCAGTCCGTTATGAATGTCTGCAGTTGCTGACCAACTTCCAACCTCAATGCAGCATCTTCGCCGAAACAACGAAACTCCGCAGTACCACGACGCACTCCCCCGCAAACGGTAATGCGTTTTATCCTTTGGCTACCATTTGCTGGAATTTCCAAACAAGTTTCTGACGGTACGTTCTTTTATTTCGCTTACAGGCAGTTGAGCATCCGAAAGCATGTCAACGTCCGCCATCCAACGTCGACTTCCGCCACAGCTGAGCGATTTGCGACGCGTGCTACATTCGCAACGCAACCACCCACTGCGAGCACGCAACCCCCAAGGTAAATATTGAAACTCATGATTGCTTTCCGTGCATTTCGCGCATTGTTTCTGAAGAACACACGTTTGCGTTATCCAATTCTCACAGATGTTCATGCTGTTGACTTTCAGGTCCGGCAGAACATTGGCCATGCTGAGACGAACACGTGATGGCAGAAACGTGGAGTGGTGAAGTCTATGCGGGGCGTGAAGCAGCATGCGTGCGCGTGTCAACATACATGCCAACCAGACTTCACCTGCCACATAATCAGCTAAGTACTCGCTCCTCCATGCACCCACCCTCGCATCTCACGTCAGCTCTAATGTCATTTTTCTGTCACTTGAAAATCGGGGTCACTGGTGGAAGCACACGAAACAGCCCACAGGCCTCCCTAAATGCAGGTAAAGCCCCCCCCAGGTGAAGCCCTCAGGTAAAGCCCTCCCTGACTGCAGGTAGAAACCGAATCTTAAGTCTGTGGCTTGTGACTGTGCGTCCATCAGTGCCCCTCCTTTCGCTCTTCTTCAATCTACCACGCTTGCATTCTCTTTCACACTGTGCATCCCACTCACTGCCTCTCCTAGTGCACCCCTTTCTTCCCCCTCCCCTCCCCCTCCCCTCCCCCGCTTCCAGGCCTCATCGCGAGCAGCAGTGGCAGGCGGACGTGGGGCAGCAAGCAACCACGTGTGGCTGCATCAGCGTCCCCATCTGCACGCACCCACACAATCAGCTAAGTGCTTGCTCCTTCATGTGTCCGCCCTCGTTTCGTTTTCCTGTCATTTGTATTTACTCCCAAAACGTGGTCACTGGTGGAAGCACACGAAACAACCCACAGGCCTCCCTCACTGCAGGTACAGCCCCCCCCAGGTGAAGCCCTCAGGTAAAGCCCTCCCTGACTGCAGGTAGAAACCGAATCTTAAGTCTGTGGCTTGTGACTGTGCGTCCATCAGTGGCCCTCCTTTCGCTCTTCTTCAATCTACCACGCTTGCATTCTCTTTCACACTGTGCATCCCACTCACTGCCTCTCCTCGTGCACCCCTCCCTTCCCCCTCCGCTCCCCCTCCCCTCCCCTTCCCCCTCCCCTCCCTCCCCCTCTCCTCCCCCGCTTCCAGGCCTCATCGCGAGCAGCAGTGGCAGGCGGACGTGGGGCAGCAAGCAACCACGTGTGGCTGCATCAGCGTCCCCATCTACACGCACCCACACAATCAGCTAAGTGCTCGCTCCTTCATGTGTCCGCCCTCGTTTCGTTTTCCTGTCATTTGTATTCAGCTAAGTCATTCACCTCCTTGATCCTTGCCTCTCAAGTGCTTTCGGTTGATTTGAGTTTTGCTTCTGTTCTTTCTTCCATTCTGTCAAATCTCGCCGCTGGTTGGGGCATGACTTGCAAGCCACAGACCTCCCTTTTCTTAATCCAGGTAAACCCCTCAGGTTCAGGTTAAGCCCCCCTACAGCCCTACAGCCCCTCAGGTCCCCTTGGGGGTCTGTGCCTTGTGCTTGTGCCTCAACCAGTGGCCCCTCCCCTCTCATTTGCCTTGCATGCTCTGCTCTTGCACTGTCACTTTTAGTCCCCTCGCTGCCTACTCACCAGCTCTGCGTGTGTGCCTTGCAGGTGGGGGGGAGGGGTGTGGGGTCAGCACCGCCATTCCCTCACGCCTCTCCCCGGTGGCCGTGCAGGGAGGGACGCACTTGGGAAGGCGGGGAGGAGGGCTGCCGGGGAAGGAGTCACCTGGTTCTGCTGCAGCTGCCCTCTGCTCGCTCTCACGCCTTAAAGCTTAGTTCCCTCAACCCCTTGCCTGCCTCGCCATGTCTTGTGGACTTTGCTTGCATCTCGTGTTTGCATGCGCTTTCGCACCTTCCTCTTGAAACAGCGCCACTGGTTGGGACCCCCTCACATGCTGCAGACCCCCTTACTTCAGGTAACCCTCTCAGGTGCAGGTACCCCCTCAGGTGCAGGTGTGCAGGTACCCCCTCAGGTGCAGCCCTTGGGTCTGCAGTTTGTGACTTGGCCTCCACCAGTGGCCCCTCCCCTCTCCCGCCTTGCAAATGCCGTTCCCTCTCACCATTCCTCCTCTCGCTGCCCACTGACCAGCTCTGCGTGTGCCTTGCAGGTGGAGGGGAGGGGCGGGGGTCAACACCGACGCTTCCCCACGCTCCTCCCCTGTGGCCGTGCAGGTACCTGTGGGGACGGGAGGGAGGCAACACTGCCAGTCACTGCCGCAAGGGAGAGTATCGGGGTGGGCTTGGCCTCTCAAGGTACGTCACCTCCCCTCTTGCCCTCATCTCGCTCCCTTTCTGCTCCTCAATTTCGCCTTCTCACTTTCTTTAGCTGCAGTCTTTGTTGTTGTTCCTGGTCATGCCAACTCAACTGCTGTTACTTCCTCCCCTGTCTGCTGCCCCTACCAGGTCACTTGGCATCGAGTGAAGACTGAAGCAGAGGAAGCTGAGTAGAAGACCGGCAGCAGCAGCAGCAGCAGCAGCAGCAGCAGCAGCAGCAGCAGCAGCAGTAGCAGTGGGGGGTGGAGGGCTAGAGGGCAGGCTAGGCTAGGTCGAGTCGTGAGCGAGGTGTGGTATGGTATCAGGTGAGGTAACAGGTGAGGTATAGAGATCTGATCCCCTCCTCTCTTCTCTCCCCCCACCCCTTGCAGCCTGAGAGGGGGAGGGAGCACTGGAGCATGAGCATGAGCATGTTTGTGCCTGTACCTGCTGCGTTCTCTAGTGTTGGCTGGCCTTGCAGCGGGTTCCTCCTCTGCTGCCTCCCCTTCATTGCCTTCTTTTGTTTCTGCGGCTACTGCTGCTCTTTTTGAGGCGCCTCAAGAATTGTTTCTGGGGCGCCTGCTGCTCTTTGTTCTAATGCGTCCACGGTGTAGGAACTGTCACCCTGGTCCTATGTAGGAACTGCCAGTAATGCTTTCCTGTTGCTTTGCTGCTCTGTTGTTGCTGCTGCTTTGTTGCTTCGTTGCAGGAGCACACAGCCATCTTTCCGCAGACCTATCATCTCACTGACACTCTCGACAATGCACTCGGTACCTACCTCTTCCTTCCCTTTTTCTATCCTCGCTCTTGCTCTTCCCATCTGCCAAGCAACATCCACACCTCTTCCTCCTGCTTCATTCCATCATGCCACATACCATCTTTCCCTCCTTTCTCTCCGTTCCCTTCCTTCCCTTTCATACTGCTCTTTTCCCTCGCCGTTCAACGCCCCTCCTCCACCCCGTCTTCCCCATTCCCCCCTTCCCCAGCACCCTCGGGATCTCTCCGAGCATACCTGTCACAGCTGGCAGCAGCAGCGGACGTCCCCACGTTCGTGTGCAGCAACCCCTTGGGCCTGCCGTCAGAGTCGCTCACTTGCACGACCTGCTGCTTCTTCTCCGCCCGCCGTCCCCTCCCGCACATGCCTCTGCTGCTCCTGCTAGAGGCGCTTCACATCGTGCTTCTGCCCCCTCCCATGCTGCTGCTGCTGCTGCTGCTGCTGCTGCTGTGGGTGCTTCTGGAAAAGGGGGCGGTGGGTTTGGGGGGGATGCAGCTGGGCAGAAGAGGAAAAAGAAGCAGAAGAAAAAGAACAAAGAAATGAAACAGAAGAAGCAGAACGAAGCGTTGGGGCAGCAGGGGGGTGAGAAGGAAGGAGGAGAGGATCAGAGCATGCATGGTTCAAGTGCTCTGGAAGGGAGTGATGGAGGTGTGGTTGAGGAAACAGCTAGGCGGAAAGTAGAAGTGTCAGAAGGAGAAGAAGAAGATGAAGGAGAGGAGGACGACGAGGAAGAAGAGGAGGATGAGGAGGGGGATGAGGAGGATGTGGAGGAGGAGGAAGAGGAAACTGGCGATGGCGCCGAGGGTGTTGAGAATGCTGCTGGGGCTGGAGCTGCGTCTGTGCCTGTCACTAATGGAGCTCCCACCCCTTCCTCTTCTGAGTGGGTTCCAGCGGCGTCTGTTACCCACCACAGTCGCTGGGACCAGAAGCAAGGCTCTTTCGCTGCTGCCTCTGCTCATGCTTCTGCTGCTGGTGGCGGTAGTGACTTTGCTGGTCGTGGCGGTGACTTCCCTACAGGGCCTATCCGTGGGACTGCGGGTATGGCTGCTCCAGAGAACCAGCAGCAGAAGCAACAGCAGCAGCAGTGGCAGCAGCAACGCAGTGGTGAGTGGAGAGGGAGAGGCAGGAGTTGGGATGCTCAGCCAGTGAGTGGTTTCGTGGATAGCAAGCAAAGTAGGAGCGTTCAGGCTGCTTCAAGGACTGGTGAAACAACTACCCCATGGAATGCTTGGCAACAGCAGCAATACCCTAATCAGCATTCGAAGCAGCAGCAGTATTCTAATCACCAGCAGCCACCGCAGCAGCAGTACACGAATCAGCAGCAGAACCTTCCACCACCATATGCTGCCGCTCCTAACACCTCACCCCCGCCATTCCTCTCTCATACACCCATGCCGCAACCCCCACACCAACCACAACAGGTCCCATCGCAGCAACCCCTAGGCCCGCCCCACCCATTCCACCCCCAGCCGCCTTCACTTCCCAGCACCCCAACCTTCCCATTTACCCCATTTCAACCCAGGTCCCCCGTCGTGCCCTTCTCTCTCGGGCAGGGCTATGGCTATGGCTATGGGCAGGGAGGGTATGCGGGAGGGGCAGCAGGGGTTGCAGGAGTTGGTGGGCATTGCCTGCTCCCTTTGGTTCGATTCCACAGGGCTCAGGTGGTTGGCAGGAGCAGGGTGGATATGGGGCCTTGGGGGTTTGGCAGGGGCAGGGACAGGGGCAGGGAGTGGGAGGGGGAGAGTGGCAAGGGCAGGAGGCTGGGCGGACGGGTGGATGGTATGGAGGTGGGCGGAGGGGGGGAGGAGGGAGGGGTGAGAGGCAGAATTACTGGCAGCAGAGGCAGCCGCAGCAGCAGAATGGCAGGTGGGACAGGGACAGTGACAGGAGGGGCAGCCGGGGTTGATTGTGCTGTGTGACTTTGCCAGGTCTTGTGGCTTCTGATCTTGTGACTTGACAGTATACTCTTGCCATGGGCGGAAGTTTGATAAGCATTTGAAATCGTAAAATACAGTACAAGGTACCCCTACATTGTGCTACTGTGGTACCTAGTCGAACAGCAACAAGCAAACAAAACAAGCAGACAAAACACGAGCTGATCAATCCACAACCTGAACAAGTTCAAAGAGCTTTCCCTTAATAGCCTCCTCCAGCACTGTCATGGGAGAAAGCTCCTTGCCCTCCAACACCGTCAGCAGCATCCCCTTGCTGAATCCCGACACCAGCGCCACCCCCTCCTCACTCGCAGCCACAGGCGTGCTGCTCGCAGACGCATCCCCCCTCAGGTTCCAATACACAATTTGCGGCACAGGGTAACCAGCTGCAGTGTACTTGCGCACGATCGCCTGGTGGTCCGTCTCCCAGCCACAGTCTCTGCCTCTGATTCCCCCACTGGGCCCACGTGCTTCATCAAACTGCATGTCAGAAAACACGTAGAGGCGCTGCACCATGTCGGCCGGGTCTAATTCGAACTGCTGCGCGCGGGACAGCAGCAGGTCAAACACCGCCTGGAAGTTGGTGTTGTAGCCCCAGGCCATGCCCTGTGTGCTGCTCACGCGCTCCACCAGGGTCTCGCCCTGCACGTGGTGGATCCTCGGCTGCGCGGAGAAGGTAATGAGGTGGTTCTTCCACGGCTCGCTGCTCACCTCGCTCACGAGCAGCGACAGCGCAATTGCCACCTCCATGGGTATACCCTCCATGCTCCCCGACACATCGCACACCGCCATGCTGTTCCCGAGCGACCCCTTGCTGCGCACATCAGCCACCATAGCCTTCCACTGCAGCTCTCCAACTGTATCAACTCTATCCCCCGCTGCTGCCATGGCCGTTTTCACCACTTCATGCGGCAGCAGCGCTCCCGAAGCGATCTTTGCCTCCCCGCCCTTCACATCCTCGAGGTACTTCTTGAAGCGCGCCTCGTCGTGGGAGAGGAAGCGCTTGCGGGTGTTCTTCATGCACACGGACGGCACGCGCCCGTACGCCACGTGCTCCCACCGCCCTCTGCTCATGTGCACCTCGGGCACCTCCAGCGCTCTCCGCAGCGGCGCCAGCACCTCCCTCTGCAGCCTCTCCTTCGCCACTCGCACGTACCCTCCCCCCCCGCCTGCTGCTGCTCCACCGTCCGCATCCATTTCAGATTCAGTAGCAGCAGCAGCAGCAGCAGCGGAAGAGGGGGAAGAGGAGGAGGGGGGGAAGAGGTGGAGGGCGATGGAGGAGGTGAGCAATGTGCAGTGATCGAACGACTTGCCAGGGGAGGGCGCCCACTTGGCTGCCAGAGAGAGCTTCGGGGCTGGCATCCCCATCCACTTGCGCTTCTTCTTGCCCTTGCCACCGCTCTCTTCCTTCACCCCCTCCCCGGTCTTCCGCGCGCGCCCCTCTTCGAACGCGCGCATAGTCTCCAGGTCCGCCTTCAGCGCAGCCGCGAAGATTGCCGCCACCGCGTTGTGCACGGCGCGCAGCCGCTCGCTCGTCTCGTACGCGTGCACCACCGCCGCCGCCCTCCGCGCGAGCGCTTCCTTGCGCACCACCGCCGCGCGCTCGCTCTCCTCCGCCATCTGCCGCCTGTTCTCCGCCACCCGCTTCTCCCGACTCTTCTGCTTTTCCCCGCCTCCTTTGCCGCCCCTGCTCCCGTTCCCGCCGCGCTTCTTCATCAACTTCTTTCCCTTTTTCTTGCCATTCCAAGCCACCGTTTCGTCCTCCACGACGTCATCCACCCGCTTCTCCCGTCTCTTCTGCTTTCTGCTCCCGTTCCAGTCGCGCTTCTTCATCATCTTATTTCCCTTATTCGCGCCATTCCAAGCCACCGCACCGTACTCCATGCGGTCTGCGCCTTCCACCGCCAAAGCGAGCCGCACGAGCTCCAGAAGATCTTTGAAACACCCAAATTCCGGAACCAGCCACAGATTTTGCACGAGCGTCCGCGGGTGGTCTTGGTAAAGCCACGTGACGCAGTGGAAGAAGCTGGAGCGGTCGCTTTTGCCCGTGCCGCGCACCGCGCGCAGCTGCATCACCAGTCGCAGCGCCGTGGCTGGATCCTCTGCCCACGCAGCCGCAAGCCGCCGCTGCGCATCGTCGCGCTCGGTCAGCGGCAGCACGTGGAAGAGGAAATCCACGCACGCGCTCCCCGATGACACGTATGTATCCGCGAGGTTCTCGGTGAGACCCCGCTCCGGCTCGCTTGCGACACACTCCATCTTCACGTCCGCGACCGTGGAACGCGTGGCGTGCTCAGAGGACGGAGTCTGAACCTCTGGCAGTTTCTTGAAAGGGTCATTTTCGTTGACTGGATGACGCGAACGCAGCTCCTGAAGAAAAGGAAGGGCCGACGCAGGGCACTGTAGCACGTGGCTCGTGTCTAATGGAAGTGCGCCTGGGAGAAAAGTGTCGGCCTCAGCCCCCATGGCTGATTTTCGTGGGACTGAAAAAAAATAAGAGAAAGTGGCTGTAGCTTCTGTGTGTGAGTCGAGCAATGCCGTGAATAATCGGTGAGATCTCGAAAGTAATGCCGTGAATTCTACTCTGGGAATGCTATGAATTTGTACATTCGTTTTGCACACGGAGTGGAAGACATGGGAGGTGGGAGTGGCACTGGGGGGCGAATTGAAAGCCGAGTTTGCCTTGCGTTGCGTATGCGTGCTCTGGAAGGCTTGGCTCGGCTTGACTCCCTCCCCCTTGGTCCGCATTGACCAGCCGAAACGCGGATTGGGCTGGACAGATTTCCCAGGGCATGGTTGCTTGAAGCTCAGGCTAGGTTGGGTACGCGTCATACCCCGAATCCTGGACCGAGTCGTCGCGAACACGTGAAACTGCTGCTGTCCCCGTTTCAAGCAATATATATTTTCTCCCAGGCATTGAACAAAAGGTACCAATATTGTACCAATATTTTATCATTCAAGTGCTCTTCTTCATGCTCTATTTTCACCAAAGACAATAATTGAAACAATAATATCGAATTTTGGTTTCAAAATCTCCAGTAATATTGCAGCATGCATGTCTGTATGTAAGTCTCACAAGAAATGTAAGTAGGTTTCAAGGATGAAACAAACAAAAGAATAATGTAATAGTTTTCTCACAGGATCGCCTGTGGTGTACCCCGAGGCACCGAACTGAATCCGCTGCAATGCGCATCCGCTAGAGCACCACCCAGCGACACCATGATCCAAAATCCAGCAGCGCTGCTTCCACTGACACCCGCACCGCACCTCCCTCCCGCCAGATCTGCCACCACTAGCCAGCAAGCCATTCCTTCTCATCCTACTTTCGCCACTAATATCCGCTGCGCTTCGGCCCGCCGCGAAAATTACCCCTTCGAGCCACCTCCTTTCGCGCTCTTTCGACCCTCACGACAGCTTAGTGACCCCCCAAGGAATATCTGAGCTTAGTTGGCAGTGTTTAGGGTCGATAGGCAACCCACGTCACTCACTTCGGCCCCCTGGGTTGATTTCGACCAGCCATGGCTTAAGCGCTCCCGACTCGGACGATCGCATTCATTTTTTCGCATTTTCGCGCTCGAAAATAGTCGTCGCAACGGCTTTCTACGCACCCCCGAAGGGGCCCAACTTGTGCATGCGAACGCAACTCTCGCTTGCGCCTTGCCACGCTCCCACCCAAACTGCTGCCTCCACCTCTCCCTCCGCATTTCGCACCTCCTCCTCCTTTTCGCTCCTAGCTTTTGCCCGTTCTCGTTCAACTCGGCTAGTTTACGCGGCTCATTCAGTTTGGCTAGTCTACGACTCCCGTTCGGTTCAGTTGTGCACGTCGTCGGCTCCTGTTCTGTACTCTCGTCAGACGAAACTGGCCATCGCCGAAGCCAGCTGCAATTCCATCGATCTTCACAACATCGTCGGAAGCCGATTCAATCCATCGATCGCGGGCGTGTTGACGATTTTCCGTCATTCGACGCCGCCTGCTGCTGAATTTCCGCGCGAGGCTGCACATTTAATCGATCGCCGACGTCGCATGACGTCGTTGTCCATTCGTCGCCTCCACGTCGCGTCGCGACTTTAACCTGATCTGTACGTTTTGCTCGATTTCTTCTCGCGGAAGCCAATTTTCCTTATCGTTTTGTATGTTGTGCGTCCTGATTGTCGTAAATATGCGGTAGGCATTAAATACTGATCAGCGATTGACATTACTGATCTCGGTTTTCCGTTTCCAGTTACAGGTCAAGCATGAAGCAATTCTCGAGAATCGTGGTCATCATTCAAATCGCACTCGCCATCCTTCCGCGCGGCTCCACTGCCGCTGCTCTCCGCTCGCCACGCGTCGTCCATCCGCCCACCCACCACCATGCAGCAATCACCCCCTTCGCCTGCTCCCTCCATCGCCATTCCGCGGTAAGCCGTCAACCCTTTTGTTAGATCAGTTCATTTCTCCGCAATCGCACGCGTTTCGACCATGATGCGTCCTTTAAACGTTGTCGAAGCTATCGCATTCTTCCATGGAGCCTGCTTCTGAATACTCTCTGTGCTTCTGCGCAGGAAGCAGCAGGCGGCTGGAAGGCAGCAGTGGGTGGCACGTGAGCAAGGCAGCGAGGCAGAAGAGAGCACGTGGCGTTCACTCGCATCGCAAGCACCACCGCTGGACGTCCCACCCCATTCGCCATTCCACTCGCCATGGAGCTGCCTCTCCCCCTGCGCGCAAATAAGTACCCTCGCCTCGCCTCGCCTTCTTCCTCTCTCCATTGCTCACCGCACACGCCACGCCACTCAATGCCAGCCCAAGGCGAACCTGCAGACCTCCCTGTCTCTTCCCCTAGCTCTGGGTTAGCATCAGCTAGGCGTCTGCTCTTGCTTAGGCGTCCTGCTCAGCTGTCCGTCCGTCTGCCTGCGTCTGTCCGTCCGTCCGTCTGAGGTCTGCAGTGTGATCGCCCTGGCTGTGCACTCATGCTCATGCTCATGCTCATGCTCATGCTCATGCTCATGCTCATGCTCGTGCTCGTGCTCATGCTCAGGCTCGTGCTCATGCTCATGCTCATGCTCATGCTCATGCTCGTGCTCATGCTCATGCCCACATCACGCACGCAATACCAATTTCAACCCTCACTCCTCACTCCCACCCACCTCCTGTTTCGGGACTTCAGCTCATTCCGCCACGCCCCCCACTCCTCCTCCTCCCTCTCCGTCCTACCCGCCCTCACCGCTCTTCCTGCCAGGCCAGCGCAAGGCGAGCAGCAAGCGAGGGGAGGGCAGCAGGCGAGAGGAGGCGATGGGAGCGCCAAGGGCGGGCAGCAGGGCAGCAGCGTCGGCCTCGTCAACGGTCGAGGTTGCAAGTATCGCCCCTGCCACCACACTCCACAAGGGCCCCACTCCCCCCCGGTTCAGGTGCAGGTTCAGGTGCAGGCGCAGGTGCAGGTGCAGGTTGGTAGGGGCTCTTGTGTGGCTGTGGGCGGCATCACATGCACCGTCGTTTCTGCACTCGCACTGCTGTCACGCGCTCTTCTCACTTGCAAGGGCCGCTCCCTCCCGCCTGTCATGTACTCATTCTCTCTCTCTCCCTTCTCTGCCTCGCAGGTCCTTCCCTTCAAGCCTTACGCCCACTCTGCATCAACGCACCCCCTCCGTCTGCACCACCACGCCTCCAACTTTCAGCTAAGTGACTCGCCTCCTTGATGCTTACCTCCAATTCCCCTTGAATTCTGTTTCATTCATTCTTTCCTGCTGTTAAATCTCGCCGCTGGTTGGGGCATGACTTGCAAGCCACAGACCTCCCTTTTCTTATTCCAGGTAAACCCCTCAGGTTCAGGTTAAGCCCCCCTACAGCCCTACAGCCCCTCAGGTCCCCTTGGGGGTCTGTGCCTTGTGCTTGTGCCTCAACCAGTGGCCCCTCTCCTTTCATTTGTCTTGCATGCTCTGCTCTTGCAGTTTCACCCTACGTCCCCTCGCTGCCTACTCACCAGCTCTGCGTGTGTGCCTTGCAGGTGGGGGGGAGGGGTGTGGGGTCAGCACCGCCATTCCCTCACGCCTCTCCCCGGTGGCCGTGCAGGGAGGGACGCACACGGGAAGGCTGGGAGGAGGGCTGCCGGGGAAGGAGTCACCTGGTGCTGCTGCAGCTGCCCTCTGCTCGCTCTCACGCCTTAAAGCTTAGTTCCCTCAACCCCTTGCCTGCCTCGCCATGTCTTGTGGACTTTGCTTGCATCTCGTGTTTGCATGCGCTTTCGCACCTTCTTCTTGAAACAGCGTCACTGGTTGGGCCCGCCTCACATGCTGTAGACCCCCTTACTTCAGGTAACCCTCTCAGGTGCAGGTACCCCTCAGGTGCAGCCCTTGGGTCTGTGGTTTGTGACTTGGCCTCCACCAGTGGCCCCTCCCCTCTCGCGCCTTGCAAATGCCGTTCCCTCTCTTGCACTTTCACCATTCATCCCCTCGCTGCCCACTGACCAGCTCTGCGTGTGTGCCTTGCAGGTGGAGGGGAGGGGCGGGGGTCAACACCGACGCTTCCCCACGCTCCTCCCCAGTAGCCGTGCAGGTACCCGTGGGAATGGGAGGGAGGCAGCACTGCCTATCGCTGCCACAAGGGAGAATATGGGGGTGGGCTAGGCCTCTCAAGGTGCGTCACCTCCCCTCTTGGCCTCATCTTGCTCCCTTTCTGCTCTCCAGTTCTGCCTTTTTCGTTTTTGTTCGCTGCAGTTTTATTTGCTCTTTCTCTGGTCACTCCAACTCAATTACATTCACTTCCCCCTTTCTTCCCCCCCCCACCAGGTCACTTGGCATGGAGTGAAGACTGAAGCAGATGAAGCTGAGTAGCAGACCGGCAGCAGCAGTTGCAGCAGCAGCAGCAGTGGGGGGTGGGGGGCTAGGGGGCAGACTAGGTTAGGTCGAGTCATGAGCGAGGTATGGTATCAGGTGAGGTATGGTATCAGGTGAGGTATGGTATCAGGTGAGGTATGGTAACAGGTGTGTTGTCTGATTCCCTCCTCTCTCGTTCTCCCCCCCTCCCCTTCTAGCAGCCTGAAGGAGGGAGGGAGCACTGGAGCAAGGGCGAAACAGAGGCATTCCTTCTCTAATCCCCCCCCACTCTCTCCCTCCTCCTCCCCAGCAGCCTGAGGTATCATGGCGCTCTGAACGGCTATGATAGGTACAGGTAAGGAGGCATGGGGTGAAGGGATGGGGGTGGGTGGGCAGCATGGGAGCAAGCGGGCAGCTCACTGCCTTAGGGGCAGCACCTCCTGGGGTTGTGGCTTGTGGGTCGGGGTTTGGTGGGTGGAATCTGTGCGGCACGGCACTCGGTGCTCAAGTAACCGATCTGGCGTTCAAGGCCTAATGGACACCGTCAGAGCCGACCGGCCGGCGGCTCTGGTTCGCGTCAGCTCTGGCTATGTCAGGGGTGGGATTTGAGTCTTGGGCTGGAAGCAATTTTCCTCAGCTACACCTCGAAAATAAGTTATAGCCACTGTGGGTGC